CATTTAGGGGAGCCACCTACGTTGCATTTCCAAATCGTCCAAACTTTCCACATAAAACAGCACTGTATGTGATTTCTCGAGCAATTTGCAAATGCGACCTGCATGCGGGCTGACTAATTACCAGACAAACATCCAACGTTCTCCGATCAAAACCACCTATCGAGTGGTGGTCCCACTGAAAATCAGCGCTGCAGGAACACGCTGCAGCTTAAGCTGTGTGGGAACCATTTCATCTGCTACTACACAATTATTACTTCGATGTATAAAGTTGGCATTAATGTTTATATATTTTTTAGCTGAATAAATGATTATTATTATTATTAACTACTATATGCTAATTTTGAGGATGACAACCAGAGGACTCAAAAAAACGAAATTTTATTAAAACTAATTGAATTCTATTGATAAAAGTTACAATATATTGCTGATACTGTGACAAAATCACTGCTTAGTTCAAAGTGTGAACCAGAAGTGCAATTCCTAAATCTAATTATAACTAAAATTATTGCCCAGTTCGAAGTGTGAACCAGGAGTGCAAATCCTATATCTAGTTATGACTAAAATGACTGCCCAGTTCGAAGTGTGAACTAGGAGTGCAATTCTTAAATCTAATTAAACTAAAACGACTGCCCAGTTCAAAGCGTGAACCAGGAGTGCGTTTTCAAGACGTCACGTAGACCAGCCTCGAGCTGTAGCGTCAGCGTTACCTAATTAGGCATTTACGTCATTTACACGAGTTTTAAATGCGACGCGATGTCAGCGCTTTTGATAGTGGCTCACTATGTAACTCACTTATTAAGCCGAGTTTAAATTATGAAACATTAGACACTTTTTGCGACGGAGCAAAAACATTAAGTTGCATGACCATCATGTTCAGATCCCACCTATCTTAAACTACCTAACCTATCATCATACCATCATTATATCAGCCTCCCTCTATTAAGGGGATTTTCCCGTAGTTGCCACACTCAGCAGGCTGACTGATACCCGCAATTAGGCCTTTTTTTTAGTGGATGATGATGGATTGGTTAGTCCGCCTGCACTAACAGTATACGCTGGCAGGGCACCTGTGAGGGATGATAGATGAGAATGAAAAAAAGCAGGTCTGTTAGCTCATCGTGATGAACTAACCCACTTGGAATTCAGCACGATGGTTTTCAGGGGGGACCACGGGGAGATCGACCTGGTTAAGTATATTACTAGCAATAGGGCCCTCAGTTTCCGTTACTAACAATCCCTTCCCCCCCGCAATTAGGCCTTGGAGATGTTTCAAGAAGGACACTGCTGCCCATCCCTCTACCTTTCCCTTAAATTCCCTTAGTCGCTTTTTACGACATTCGCGAGAATGAAAGGAGTGACCTATTCTATGTTGGTTCCACAAGGCTGATATTTTAAATAGATAGTAAAAGATTAAAGATTTATTTTGGTATAGTATATATTATAAGATCTGACTGTCTGTCTGAAGACAGTCTAATCTCTCGCAGTGGATAAACGGAGTGTTTCCTACACTCTTTCCATCCATCACGCCATAATCCCCGAAGATTTGAAAACTCTTGGGATTACACGTATCTGATAATCAGACGTTACGCAATTCGTATTTAATTTGAATTCGTAACTTCTTTATAGGAGTTTAATGGTGAAAACATTTATACTTATTCTAAACTAGCGATCCGACCCGGCCTCGCACGAGTAGGCAGAATTTTCGAAAATATATATAATAAAAAACGGTTATTTTATAGCATTTTATATGTGATTCTTTAGATTGATATAACTTTGTTATTTATAAACCGATTGAAATAAAACAAACACTAAATGTTAAGTGGAGCAAAACTGCAATGCAATAGTGAAGACTTAATTCAAAACAATTAGGCCGTTTCTGAGATTAGCATGCATAAACATACAGACAAACAGATAAACAGACAAAAATTCTAATAATCATTGTTTTGAATTCTATTGCGTTCATAAAGTCTCCATATATTTATTTATTTATTCATTAGTACAAATATGTGTACATGGCGGACTTAATGCTAAAAGCATTTTCTCCCAGTCAACCATAGGGAAGTGTCAGAATACTCGAATGCGGTACTACTAATTATTGATATACATACATACTAAAATTACATATATAAACGAATAAATATATATAAATAACAAATATACTTACACATATATGACATATACTATATTATACACGAAATTGAGAATAATATAAAGTGTTTACTGCTCGGATAAAAATAAAAAGTGAGCGTGAACGCTTTTTTGAAAGACGGTTTAGTCGGTAGTCTCTTAATGGCATCAGGAAGCGCGTTCCAGAGTCGTGAAGAATGTAAGAAAAAGTTTGAAGCGAAACCAGTACGGTGAGAGGGGAAAGATAATTGGAGAGTATTATTGGAACGAAGGTTACGTTCGTGAGTTTCAAAAAGATAATGGAATTTACTTCTTAAGTAGTTAGGAGACTGGGGGTTTCGAAGAAGAGTGTAAACAGGGTACAAAAAGTTCTAACGTTTCTGCGTTGACGAATGGAAAGCCACTTGAGCTGAGACCGATATAAAGAAATGTGATCGAATTTGCGGAGGTTGAAGATAAAACGTATGGCTTAGTTTTTTTTTATATATCTTCCATGTACAGACAGCGACCAGCTACGATTTTATTATATGTATTGATTAAATAAGTATTACTTGTAAGTATTACTTTTAAAGTTTTTTTTTTTTTTATCTATATCTTCATATTAAATTTAATTCTTCTATACGTATGTATTCAAATTCAAATAGGCTTGTTTACAACCATTTTTAAATCGTCATTTATTTTTAAATCTACTGCAGGGTTCGGAAAGTTCTTATCTGTTGAGAAGAGCCCGCAAGAAGCTCAACAGTTACTCTTTTAAATCTCTGTTAACATTATGTGTATTTATTTAAATGTACTATATCTAAAATTGCATCGTCTTTAAATCACTGAACTTCTATTAAACCGATTTTAATGAAATTTTTTATGTGTTTGACTAGGTCCCTGGATAGTCAACTGCTCAAAACGTGTTCAAGTTAATTAGAATGTCATATTTTTATAACACTTAGAATTAATATGTATTTATAAACTAAATTTTTATGTCTACTAGTTAAAATAATGCCCTGATTATTTAAATACTATATCTATTATAATACCTGCTATTTATATCTTTTATAAATTTATCTTCTTTTTTTTTACTAAAAGCGGCAAAAGAAGTTGCGTATGACGCCGACTATCACGTCAACCTTTCAAGCACACCTTGATTTATTATCTGTGGTAACTCACAATTTATGGCGGGAAAAAATACCTCTACGTTATGGAATTTACCCTTTGATATACAGCAACACGAGAGATGGGTACATGGGTCCGTAATTCGAGATTGACAAATTTTGATAACGGGAACTAACTGTGCTCAGACAATTTTTATAGATAATACTCTTTCATGATAGTATACTTGGGTTTATTTTTTATGGGTGAAAATGGTATGGTAACCCCGCCTGCGCTAACGGGATACGCTGGCGGAGCACCAGTGAAGGGTGATCGATGAGAATGAAAACAGGCCAGTTAGCCCATCATGATGAATTCATCAGGAATTAACCATGATAGTTTCCAGGGAAACCGCGAGGATGTCGACCTGGTTGGGTATATTGCTAGCAATGGGATTCTCAGTCTCCAATACTAACAATCCCTTCCCCCCCAGTATACTTGGGTTAGTTATTTAAATGTTCGTCACAATATATGTACCTCTTAGATTATATAGATAAGCCTCAAAAACGGGTCAACTTTTTGTCAGCTAATTGTCAAATTAACAGTTCGTTCTTTTAACAGTGTTCTATATACTTACGCATACAATGTATCTTGACATATTATTTAATATTTACCAAAGGGAAACTTTGTACAAAAGTCGATTGCTTGACTACCTCTGTCCCATTCGTGTTTCAACCGTGAAGCAGTTGTGTTTGCATGGCTGTGTTTCGGTTTGAAGGGTGGGATATGGCGTGAATTTACTGGGTACAGCGGAATAACACCCGAGTCCTCAGGAATGGCAACGCATGAGGGGTATCATGGGCGAAACAGTATACTCTATTATGTCCATGATACTGCTCATGTCTATAGGCGACGGTTACCACTTCACATCAGGTGGGCCGTCAGCTTGTTTGCCAATCTAAGTTGCATAAAAAAAATATTATTTATTGTCCCATATTATCTTATATCATAATGAGTGTTTACGCATTTAAAAGATGCAGAAATTATGAGGCAAAATAGATATAGAACTTATAAAGGAATCACTCGATAAATATTTATCACGCAAAATTTTATGAAACTTTTGTATTATTAACACAAAAGCTTGTAACGTTAGATGGATGGCTAGATAGATGTTTCTTAACTCTATCAGGAAAAAAGTACTAAACGGATTTGAGTTAACCCTTCTTTGCATGATTTTTTTTATTGGTGAAATAAATCAAGGTGATCAAATAATTCATATTCAAAATTAAAGGAAAAATGGTTAAAAAAATAAATTTGACAGCTATGTTTTTTTTCTGCAATGGACATTAAAAACGTATCCAGACACGATCAACTTAAAGTGAAATTGTTTTTTTATATAATTTTTGGACATTCAATGTTTTGATGGAAATTTTCACCAGTATGCAAAGAAGGGTTAAATTTGGTACATGAGTCGATTAAATCCTAACTTAGCACATAAGATATTTCATGTACTGAGTTACGCAGGCAAAGCCGCAGCTAGATACAGCTAGCACGAAATATAGATAATCATTCTTTGTTATTAAAAACATTCATATCCTAACAATTAAAATATCTTAATACCAAATTTTAATCTATTTCCGCATAAGCGTGATTAAATAACAAACGTCTTACAAAATTTTACAAACTTCATGTTTACAGTAATAATAGGATTGATACTTTTTTAACACGACAAATAGCTTGTGACAACCCAATAGACAAACACAACTGATCGTTGTTCTCTTTTGTTCCAGTTTGTTCCACAATCGACACAGCAACGGAACAAACAGCCGCTCATGACAGCAACCAACGTGTACACTTTATAGATAACCAACTAGACAATATAAATGCTACACTAAACAAAAATAGGACCAATTTAAATAATAATAAAGTTAAAAGTAAAACAAAAATATTAGAAGACGACATTTATACGTCGAACGATGATATTATAAAGAATTTTGAAATGCACAAAATCAATGTGAGGAGGTTTAACCAAGAAATGGCCACGGAACAGTATGGACCGCATAAAGAGATCCCCGTAAAGAGAGATAGATATAACAAAGAGGTCCCCGTAAAGAGAGAGGCCCCGGGGAAGAGATATACGAATATATATCATGAAGGGATCCCCAGAAATAGAGTGAAGCGATCGCAAGACAGTCACTGTGAGGCATTCGAATATCACGGTAGAGATCAGAGACAAATTAGGCATCCATATCAAAAGGATGATACGAATAATACTAATTACTATAGTAATGTGCATTGTGTCACTGTTATAAATGGTAAGTTGTTTTGTTTATACTTCATCATCATCATCATCATCATCATCATCATATCAGCCTTTAACTGCCCACTGCTGAACATAACCCCCCCCCCCATGGGGCGTTCTCTCAGTAGTTTCCACGCTTTGCATACGGGTTGGCAACCGCAGTTTGACTCTTGATGATGTGCTGCCCATCCCTCGTCGTCCCTTAGTCGCCTCTTACGACACCCACGGGAAAGGAAGGGGTGGCTCATTCTATGCCAGGAACACACAACAATTTATTATTTTATTTATAATAGTTATATTTATTATAATCAAACATACTTTGTCCTGACAAATTAAATAAAATACCTAATTTTTATGTAAAAATAAAAATATATTTTAATACCATAAAGGTGGTACCAGCTCGTCTGATAGTAAACAGTTACTGTATCCTATGGACGCCTGCAATACTAAGGAAGTCACGTGTGCGTTGCCGACCTTGAAGAAACCTTAACCTTTTTTGAAAAACCCAATACTGTAGTCTCTAAAGCAAAAACAATACAGATAAGAAATGATTTACTATTTATATATATAACCAGAGGAAGATGTCACTAATAGTTTTGTCATTATGTTTGAGAAAGCTGACGGCCCACCTGATAGAAAGTGGTAACCGTCGCCTGTTGACATTACCTGTACCATGGATATAACAGAGTATATTGTTTCGCCCATGACACCTCCCATGCGTTGCCATTCCTGAGCACTCAGGTATTATTCCTCAGTACCCTGTAAATTCACTACCATATGCCACACTTCAAACCGAAACGAACTTATGCAAACACAACTGCTTCATGATAGAAACACGAATGGAACAGAGGTGTCCAATCAAACGACTTTTGTATAAAGTCTTCCTCTGGTACGTGTATGCAATTATATGCATACGTATCCTTAACAATTCTTAAACGAATAATTGTCTTTGACTAAACCATATTTACTTTATGTTCTCCCATATTGGTGCTTTGTGTCAGGATTCAAGCTAATATTGGCAAAATCAGTGTTAGAACAAATAAAAGTCTTGACACAGTATCAAGTTGTTTGAGAAACACTCAAGCCGTAGATATAGTAGAATACCTGAGAAAACGCCAGTACGTATTGTGTCAGAAAGCAGTTCCACTTTGAAACAAGTTGTACTCACTTCACACAATTCACAGCATCCTACAAGATACCGTGGCGTAGAGACTGCAGTATTTGTGTCACGGAACATTTCAATGTGCATGTGAGACTAGAGGCAAACTTGTTGGATTATATTACTTCATTTGTATGTATCTAGAGGAATCGGAATTGTTACCAGATATTAGTTTACATATTAGTATTATTATTATTGAGAAACAGCCTTTATTTTAGCCAAAAAAAATCTTTAACACTGCAAATCTCAATCTTTTATGCTCGCCCTTTTTTAAAGTTCGCTGCTAATTCCTGTCAATGATAGGAATTGTAAGATGTTCTTTGCAGCGATGTTTTTTTTTTATCTCCTCATGATATCAAGTGTATTTTCCAAATGAGATATATCGTTTACGTATGTGTGGGCTGCAGCCACAAATTATCTGCTGCGGTGTTTCTTCCTCATTGTGACAAAATCTGCAAACATTTTTTGGGCCTAAGATGGGTTTAGTTAGTTTGTGCTTATTTAGTTTGCAGTGTCCAGGTTAATTAAATTAATAGCAAAAATTTTATTAACAATAATTGCTTCCTTTCAGGTACTGAGTCGTCGGTGATAGAACTAACATTTGTAGACATATTCCATATTGAGTATCATCCAGACTGCGCCTATGATTATTTAGAAGTAAGTATTAGTTACCTAATTAAAAAAAGTGTTGATTTACGTAAGTGAAGTCGTTGGGGGGAAGGGGGCGATTGCTAGTAATGATATTTACCAGCCTCATCACTAACAATACAGTGTGTATTGTCAAATGTCAGATCAGGTCGACCTCCATGCAGTTCCCCATGGAACTCATAGTGGTTAATTCTTGTTCAAATGGTTACTATAGGCCAAATGATCTGCCTTCATCCTTACCTGCCACCCTTCACTGGTACCCCACCCGCTGTATGCTTGTTTACCTCTTTTGAGCTTTAAAAAAAGTCAATAATATTCTCTTTTCCAAGATTCGAGACGGTTCAAAAGGCTATTCAGCACTACTTGGAAAGCTGTGTGGACATCAGTTTCCTAGGCAAATCAGGACAACTGGACCGTACGCGTGGTTAAAATTCCATTCGGACGACACCATAGAGTACGAGGGGTTCCACATAAACATCGCTATTTTAAATGGCTACAATAGTCGTAAGTATTTCAATTGTTTACTTAATCTGTACACGCAAATAATATTTGAACGTGGGCACACGTGGTTTTGATGGCTTGGTAAAGGAAACTGAAAATTACTGAATTCACCTTCAGATTTATTTCTTGCAAACATAATAACAAGTACAAAAGTGAAATACATACCTTTATAATTTACTGAATTACTGAAATATAATTGAAGAGACACACCTGTTTGATCAAGCGTCGAACGGAAGAGAGATGGAATCATAGACAATCCTAGTTATATTTTTTACTAGATCATTAACTATAAGAATCTGAATTCCTGATCATTAAGAATAAATTATAGCTAATTAAATATAAAAACGAGATATAGACATGTTCAAGCATATAATATTGCGTGAATATAGTCATTGATACTAATGGCGCGAACAAAATATATGATAATGATTCCAAAACAGTTACCAACCCACGGTTTTGAATACAAAACAAATAAAAATGCAACGACTAAAATTCCTAAAAGTTCCTAAAAAAACAGACTTCAATTTTTAAATACACCAGTTATTTCGATTTAAAAACTAATTTTCAATTTTTTTAATTCATGCATCGACAAAGCCAATAAGGATTTAGGATGATAAACTGTTTTTTATTTCAATCATCCCGGTTTCATTTACATTGACTAGCTACTATTAAAAAAAGACCGTACGGTCGTTTGTCATACTGGTTGCTTACAAAAAATATGTCCTGAATTTTCCAGCAAACATATTCCTACCTTTACAATTCAGTACGCCGAGAATTCTTTATTTGAGATATCATATTCCGGCGATGCAGAAAGCCGATACCAAAAATTGTACATCCCAAGTTTCTAATACTTTTATACTTTACTCTTTTTATTACTGTTTTTTTTCCAACAGATAGAATACCGGATAAATGTTACGAAACACTAGAGGGAATGTATGGTGATATAAATTCGGCGAAAATAGATTCCGCGTGCACCACCGGGAGTATGGGTCAAGCCCTGGACATTCTTTGGACTATCAAATCCCCTGCGAATACGAGAGTAAGTTTGTTTTACTTTTTTATGCAAAGAACATAGCTTTTTGCCCGCTGCTTTGCCGCCCCGTACGCGTGGGCTTTAGAAACAGGGAAAGCAATGAAATAAGGCTCCCATATGTTAATTTAGATGAAACATACACTAGATTTTAAGTTACACCTTCAGACATGCAACTGTTAACTGTATCCAATTTGGTACAATAGTTTTTGCGTGATGCCGGAACAAATATACTAATAAATAGAAAGACAGACAATTTTTTTTAAAAAATATTGATTTAGCTTTTAATTGTCCACTGCTGAATATAAACCTCCCCATTGGGGGGTTTATTATTAGTTGCCACGCTTGACAAGCAGATTGGCAACCGCAGTGAAGCTTCAGAGATGTTCTAAGAGGGACGCTGCTACCCATCTCTCGCTCTCCCTCAGTCGCCTCTTACGACACCCACGGGAAAGGAACGGGTTGCTTATTCTATTCCGGGACCACCCGGCCCATTAGTATGTTATATATTTTAATATTAATATTACATATTTCGTGGATTCCTTTTTTTACGCGACATAACAGCTTTTTTTTTAAGTCCGTGTATACGAAATCACAGAGAAACGCTTGTGTGTAATAAATATTATTCTCAGCAGAGACAAAATCATTTGCTGTTTTCCATTTCAGATATTCCTAAATTTTACCACATTTATACTAGCAAAACCTAATGAGTGCGAGGAGAATGTAATACAAGTTTTCGGCTCTGTACTGGAATACGATGCGAAGTAAGTATTTGGCCTGTACCTATTTTTATTTCTCTTTATTTCGTACTTATTATGCTATGTTGGAAACCTTTTTGTACAGTGAAGGCCGGTCTGAAATAGTGATGTTCCGATTCAAACTGAATCGAATACTGTAATACTCAAATGCTCAATATACAGGACTAGAATACACGACATTCGAATACAGATTTCGAGTTCTTACAGTACTCAAATACTCGTGTGTATATCATAAATATGTAGGGTTCCGTACCTAAAAAGGAAAAACGTAACCCTTATAGGATCACTTTATTATTTGTCCATCTATCTGTCTGTCGGCTAAAAGTAGTATCAATTATTTAAATGTGCAATGCCATTAAACTGTAAAAAATCAAACTTTTAAATCGACACGATCAAAAGATACGGCCATTTATAGCATATATTTTAACTTTTACAAGGGAATCAAAGTACTTCCTGTTAACCTAGAATCATAAAACTTGACAAAAAGATAATATAAGAAATATCCTGCAGCCGTAAATTTATAATTAAATCACAATTTTTTTTATAATTTCTTTTTAATTATAATTTGTAAGGAATCCTTGATGCGCGAGTTCGATTAACACGTGGCCGGATTTTCTAATCCTGATCCCGTATTTTATTAATTGCCATAGAAAAAAAAATTAAATTATTAAACATTTATTATCACCATAAGAGTAAACTTCAGAACTCAATTGAAAATGTATTCTAATTAAATAAAATACTCAAATACTCGAATAGTCCTCAGACTCGAGTCAAGGTTCGATTATTTTTTTAAAGAATACCAAAATACTTGTATACTAAAAAAGTACCGACTCGGCACATCACTAAACTTGTAGCTTTTTACACCAGAACAAGTCAAATGAATAATAATTTACGAGAGAATAAATCAGTAATGAATATTTGAAAATTTCTAATAAGCTTATTTTTATGTTATCTGATATTATGAAAAATCCATGTGATTAATAATTTAATTTTTAAATAATTTTTGTATGCTCACCGTTCAAAAATTATTTAAAACAAATATGACAGCGAATTTACAGGGTATAACACCCTAGGCCTTAGGAATGGCAATCCATGGAGAAACAGTACACTCTGTTGTGTCCATGGTACTGCTCATGTCTATAGGCTACGGTTACCACTTTCCATCAAGTGGGCCATCAGCTTGTTTGCTATTTTATTTTGCATAAAAAAAAATTGCACAGGTTGGCTCATTACTGCGGCTCCATGGCGAATTCAGTTCAGACCAAGGGAAGAGATAGCAAAGGAGTAGGCGATGACGGCAATCTGATGTATGTCCGTCTGTATGCATCGAAAGCTGCGAAGGCTGGCACTAATTTTTCAGCCACATATACTGCATTTAGAACCTTGGATCCTAACAAAGGTAACTAAATAGTTTTATGGTTAAACATTAAAACTGTTCCGGAAAAACCCTTACATTGCTAAATGTTAATTTGAACTAGTAAATCTTAGGATTTACCGACATAAATTGGCAAAAGTCGATTGCTTGGGTACCTCTGTCCCATTCGTGTTTCTACCGTGAAGCAGTTGTGTTTGCATGGCTGTGCTTCGGTTTGAAGGGTGAGATATGGCAGTGAATTTACAGGGTACAGAGGAGTAACACCTGAGTCCTCAGGAATGGCAACGCATGGAAGGTATCATGGGCGAAACAGTATACTCTGTTATGTCCACGGTACTGCTCATGTCTATAGGCGACGGTTACCACTTTCCATCAGGTGGGCCGTCAGCTTGTTTGCCATTCTAAGTTGTATAAAAAAAACACCAAAAAACGTGACTATTATATGTAAACGTGAGTATTAAATGTACCCACATTTTTTCTTTCTACAGACGATAAATGCAACGACACACAATTCGACTGTGAAGACAACACGTGCATTGAAAAGGTCCTAACGTGCAATGGCTATGCAAACTGCAGACTCAAAACTGACGAAGACAACACAGGAGCAAACGAGCATGCGGCTCACCTGATGGTAAGTGACTACCGATTTAAAACGGCATTGCAGGTGTATGCTCTTTTCTTGAAGGTTATATTGTTTTTTTTTTTTTGGATGTAAATGGAATGGTCAACACATACGCTGGCGGGGCACCAGGATGAAAAAAAGGCAGGTCAGTTGGCCCATCGTGATGAATTCATCAAAAATTAATCACGATGGTTTCCAGGGGGAACCGCGTGGAGGTCGACCTGTTAGGGTATATTGCTAGTAATGGGTCTGTTGGATACCACTACTAACAATCCCTGTCCCCCCCTTTGTCGTATCGGTTCGGAAATACTGCTGCTGGATGTTGATTCCAAAGAGTGGTTGTGTGTTATTTAAAACATAATAAATATAGTATTTAGTAAGATAAAAGATATACTTTCAGTTAACGTTAATCAGTAACAAAAATGTTTTTGACAATTACGATGTGGCATTTCCATTTTTTCATTCTTGCTTTCAAATGACATAATAAATTCTTATAATACTGTATTGGGATTTAAAAATTGACCTCTCGAAGTCTTATTTGCATATGTCAATAGCAAGATTACATCGTGGAGCATTAATTATAATAATATTTAAAACAACAAAAGTTCTGTTGTATGTGTACTGTTAAGTATGTGTATGTTGTGTATATATTTAATTGTGTATATATTATATATGTATGTGTATGTATGTATCTATATATGTTTGTATATGATAATATTTATATAATAGTGCGTCACCTACTGTTTGTCTTTTTCTCAATGCCCTTTACCCAAAGGTTGTCTGGAAGAGATTGCTTAGCGATAAGGCCGCCTTTTGTATCACTTCTCATTAATATTAAAGTGTTAATAAATAATTAAATAAATAAAAGTAAGAAAGAGTACAATTTTTGCATTTAAATATTACATTTATGTTATCAAATTGTGTATAATATAAAATGTATTAATATAAATGTACCGAAAAGAAAACTTTACCTCCCGTGTTAGTCGTAACTGTGTTACGGCCATCATTATGGAGTATAAAACAAAGTCACTTCCCGCCTGTCTGTCACTATGTATGCTTAATCTTTAAAACTACGCAACGGATTTTGAAGCGGTTCTTTTTAATAGATAGAGTGATTCAAGAGAAAGGTTTATATATATAATACATGCATAATATAGTAGAGGAACAGTGACAATTTTATCGTACTTATAAGTACGTTACGATAAATTAAAAATATATATATTAAAAATTGTATAATATAATATATTTAGTATCAGCATTGTACCCGTGCGAAGCCGGGGCGGGTCGCTAGTTTACAATATATCCATAAAATGTCTTTCGAATGACAAGTTTACCATTCGGCCAGTTAATAGATCTTTTTACTGAATTAAATGACAAGCCAGTTGAGGACAAGATGCTACCAATCTGCTTCGATAATCTACTTCGATGATTTTGTCCTCGCCAATAACCTGTAACTGGTCGAATGCCTAATTCATTGCAACCTAAAAATTCTGTACTTTAACAACCCAATAACCTCATACAAAACGTGAATCCAACTCTATAAGAGGAAGATATTGGCTTTCTGTTACTACGCTAGCCAGACAAGTTTTATTACTAGTTTTCCTTTATTTGCCTTAGAGTATTGTAATTTGTTTCCTTATTGGCATTTTAGGATAATCATGACGATAAAATAAGTGTAGTCACTTATTGTATTCTTACTCCGTCGTTACACATTATATTAGATTATATAGATAGAGTATCTCCATAGAAATTCTTCGAAAATAAAAGGGTCAACTTGTTCATACAATTTTGCGTGATGAATAGTTGTGAGTGATACCTTTATAACTTCTATATTTATTTTGTCTTATAAATTATGCATTTTTTTTTATTTATTAAATAATACATCAAATACATTTTATTTATATATAGAATATTGATAAAAAAAATTAAATAATACGTTAAAATATAATCAAGATACATTGAGCTATATTTTATTCATATATTGAGTAAGTATAATATAAATTTATTTAACTATTGCACCAAAAACATATAAATATAATATAAAATATGAAATACAGTAGCATGTACAGGTTAAAATATATATATATATATAAAGGTACAAAAGGCGGTCTTATCGCTAGGGCGATCTCTTGCAGACAACCTTTGGTTAAAGGAGAACATATAGAAATGGGTAGGTGGCGCAAGATTAAATGAATATTTTTTACGTATAATTCATTAGACTGTTTATTATAACAAATAATATTTAATTTGTTATCCAGACTGAAACTACGTCAATGTTGAGCCAAACACACATATTAGTGATCCTGGTCATCTTCTCCCTCATTCTGTCTGGTATGAGCTTCGTGTTTCTCTTCAAATGCATCAGGAAATTATACCAGGACCATAAAATAATCAAGGTTAGTCTGCTTTAATATACTGTCAATTATAATCCTCATGACTAGTGATTTAAAAATCTATAAATTGTTACAACGTCGAGTCAAGCAAATAATATAGTTCATGTTACATCAAATTCTAGAATGTTTTCACCTACACATGGCTATACGGCAGTAGTTAAATTGTTAATTACTTTAATATTAGCCTATTAGAATGCTTACTGGCAATTTTGTGTACACTTTTTGTTTCGACGTTTTAATTTCCTACCTTTAACGATATTTCGGGGATGTTAACAAATAATATATCTGTTCTCATAAATACCTCTTACAATATTCTGGGAATGATAGATTAAGAAGTAAAACATTGTATTTTTACTGTCATTATCATATCAGACTCTATTTATTAACTGCTGGACACGAGCCTCCCCCTTGAGGGAGTTTTGCCAGTAGTTGGCACACTTGGCTGGCGGATTGGCAATCGCAGTTAGGCTGTAGAAATTTTTTAAGAGGGACGCTGCTGCCCATCCCTCACATTCGCTTAGTTGCCTACAGGAAAGGAAGGGTGGCCTGTTCTATGCCGGGACTACACCACCAATTTTTTTTTTTACTTTAAAACCAGAAAAATATAACTATATATGTTTACTACTATTATCTTTTTTTTAATTATTTTATTAGGAACATATAAGACAATCGTGCGAAGACAGATTGGACAGTTTGGTAAGCAGACGATTGACTCTAGACGCTCAGAGATTGCAGAGGGACAGCGAGTCGCGACCTAGCTTGGAGAGAGATAACCACACCAACGAAATGTTTAAACAACAAAGAAGTTTCTCAAAACATAAGGTAAATAACAATAATATAAACTTCGAACACTAAACAAATCGAACAAATTAAACAAACTAATTATCATATATTACAAGTTGACTAAAATCTTGTAAAAAGAAATATTCTTTCTCTACAGGATAGTATAGACTCTGACTTCATTCAAGAAACACATTTAGATGTGGACAGTGAACCTTGGCGAAGAGAAGTAGACAGAGTACCTATAGAAGTTGAAGACATCAGAATTGAAAGGAACGGGAGAACAAGGCGCAGCGACATAAGCAAAAGAGAGGAATCTATCAAGAGCAAATCAAGAGAGTCCAAAGAGAGGGAGAAGAAAGAAATAAGAGATGTATCCGTGGGTGCGCCTGATACGAAAGAATCTAGTTGTCAGACCAGGGAGAGTCTGTTTCAGACAGATGCACCGCCTAGTTCTGAAGGTTAGTTGATAGGAAATCTATTTATTTATTTATTTAAGGAACACCAACAGCATATTGCATTATAACATATAGGTATAACAAACATTAAATATAATACAATATTAATGCACATGCCTATTATAGGTATTCACAGCATTCACTTTAACATTATTATACAGTGTAAGAAAATTATGTAAATAACAAAAATAAACATGTAATCTTTTTTTTTTATCAACACGAGACTAAACATGGTTAATTAATTGTTAGCATAATTGACCGTATAATTTAGCTGATATAAATTAAAAATAGAAACATAACCCTTTAATAGTTATGTTTCTATGAAACGTTAATTCACATAAAAGTGGCTAGAAAGATGGAAGGTTATTACAATATGCAGCTGGACCTTCGACTTCTTTTTTACCACAAGTGTGGCAAATAAGCATATAATCAATCTGATGGTAAGCAGTCTATGTAAAACACTGGGAGTGTTACGTACGCGTACCCCGAAAAAACCTTAATTTATATTAAACCTTTTTGAAGAATCTTACTAATATTGCAAATATGAAAACGAATTTGTTTGTTTACTTACCTATTGTCTCTGGATGCCTTCATGCTTCAATCAATCGTCATGAAATTTAATATGCACGTTCTCTATACTTATAATATATCTGTAGAGAGGTCAATTCTGTACATGAAACATATTTCCAAAACAACTATCAGGCGGTGATTAGTGATCGATACTGATGACAAAAATGCAATCAGTAAAAATGTTGTCTATCTGTCTGCCTGTCTGTATGTTCGTTATAGAAACAAGAACTACTCGACGGATTTTAACGAAACTTGGTACAATTATTCTTCATACTCCTGGGCAGGTTATAGTATACTTTTCATCACGCTACAATCAATAGGCGCAAAGCAGTGAAGGGAAATGTTGAGGAAACGGGGGAAGTTACTCCATTTTTAAGCTTCTGTCGCGTGTGCAGCCTTAATGGCCTCTTTTTTAAATGTAAAAATGTCCACCCGTGCGACGCCGGAACGGGCCGCTAGTATCTAGAATAAAAAAAGATACAACCTACTTTTTATTCTGGTTAACCAATGTATCCCATTATATATTAGTTAATAAATTCCTCGTTTTGTCTGTGATAACGATAAAATAAATGTTTGGAGATCAGAAATTAGTCAAATGGACTGCATTTGGTGTGGCGCTCATTGAATCCTGCAGTTAACAGGTGATCTTTTAAATGAAAATTAATAGCATGTGTGAAGCTAGAAGCAGAACAGTTGGCCCATCATGTAGAATTTTGTAGAAATAAACTACGACAATTTCCAAGGTGAACCATGAGGAGGTCAACCTGACATTACAACGAGACTGCTAATGCAACCCCCGCAAGACAAGATCAACAAGATGGCAAACAAGCTGATGGGCTGCCTGATAGAAAAATATAACCATCACCTATAAACAAGAACAGCACATGATACGCCTCGTGCGTTCCCGTTCCTGGGAACTATATTCTTATGTCTTTGTACCCTGTAATTTCGCTGCCATGGTCTCACCGTTTCAATCAAAACACAACCATAAAAGCATAGCTGTTTCACTGCAAAATCACGAGTAGGATAAAGATATACTTAGTGGATACTATTGTAAAAAGTCTCCTTCTGGTAACCAAAATGAGCCACAGTTTATGTTTTACCCTAATTAATTAACTGGCCAGGCTCTGGCAGCAACAGCCGAGGGTTCTCAACGTTCGGATACTCCGGCGCAACGATTGTGCGGCCATCGCCGCCGGCCACCATCAACACTTCCGAGGTCACGATCGAGCTGCTGAGCCAAGTACCACAACACCAGGACTCTGTAAAACGTAAGCACGGTTTTATTTTAAATAAAGAAATTTCTAGTAATTGTGTAATTTCATCATATCAAAACATAACTATCCACTGCTGAACAATAGACCTCCCCCATAAAGAGGGTTTTGCCAGTAGTCGCCATTCTTGGCAGGCGGATTAGCAAGCGCAGTTAGACTTTGATGATGTTTAAAAAGGGCCACTACTGCCTATTCTTCGGTTAATAAGTTCTCTTAGTGGCCTCTTACGACACTTATCAGAATGGAAGCGATGGCCCATTCTATGCCGGGACTATACGGCGAATTTATTATATCAATGGGGTAATCATTAAAAATGGCTAAATTAATTAATAAAAGACATAAAGATAGAACTAATACTTTACAATAAGAAAAAACAATATTGATAGAATAGAATAGAATAAAAAATCATTTATTCAAATAAACTTACATTGAAGCACTTTTGAATAGTCATTACATTTTTTTTAATCTACCGCTCGTTCGGAAAGCTGTCTCATCACAAGAAGAACGAACAAGAAACTTGCGTGTTGCTCTTTTAAATAATTTTATTATTACTTTACATTTTTAAGTTTAAGTGTGTGAATACAAACCACCAATTAGCACTAATTCAATTAAATACTCAAAAAGAAAAAATATTGAATACATAACCAACTGGTTAAACAATTAATAAGAGGAAATCAGTCATAGTGATTAGAGCAGACCAGTCCCTACAAGCAGCACCCGTTCTCGAGTATGACGGATGAGCCAGCCATCACTGCGCTCGACCATATTTTAGGGAGCCCAATGACCCGGCCCACCACGCCGCCACAAGTCTGGACATTTTAGTGAGCATGACTACTCAAAACACTAGACCACGTCAAAGCTACTCACATTGATATCATTAGACCAATATAATTAAAGTAAAACACAGAAATAAGTCACATTCAAATTGTGAACATAATACACAAATAAATTTCCTAATTAAAATCATTTGTTTAATTAAAAACAATATTGAATATCGTGTTCCAAATATACTTATGCTCCAACTAATAATTAATACGTTTTGGAGTGGAAACTACAAAGGAAAGTGAGTGAAATCAATACGAAATACAAATAATAAATAACTCTTTGTTCAACACTTGTTTGTATTACATAATTAGTTTGTTCTTTCTAAACAAATGTTACTAACAGAGAGAGACTTTGTACAACAGTTGTCTTGGTAAACCTTTTTTTATTTATTTATACAACTTAGAATGGCAAACAAGCTGACGGCCCACCTGATTGAAAGTGGTAACCGTCGCCTATAGACATGAGAAGTACCATGGACATAACAGAGTATACTGTTTCGCCCATGATAACCCCCATGCGTTGTTATTCCTGAGGACTCAGGTGTTATTCCTCTGTACCCAGTAAATTCACGCCATATCCTACCCTTCAAACCGAAACACAGCCATACAAACATAACTGCTTCACGGTTGAAACACGAATGGGACAGAGGTACCCAAGCAATCGACTTTTGTACAAAGTCTCCCTCTGGTAGCCTACCTTTCCCACTTGTGTTTCTATTGTAAAGCAATTATGTTATATCTACATGGCTATTATATGTTGTATGTTTGAAGACACCCACCCTTCAATGCCAGTGAAATTACAAGATCTGGATTTGCCAGTACTTGGCCATGCTTGGCAGGTAGATTAATAACCGCAGTTAAGCTTTAGTGATGTTTTAAGAGAGGCACTGCTGTCCATTTCTCAACTATTAAGTTCAACTTAGTCGTGTCTTACAACATTCACGGGAAAGGTAGGGATGGCCTATGGCGACATTACAGAGTACAGAGGCTTACCTTAGCTTACAAAAAAATCATAGACGTCACAGTATGTCCATGTCACTATGCATATCTATAGGCTACGGTTGCTATTTTCCATCAGGTAGGCCGTCAGCAAATTCGACGTTACCACACTTAGGCAAGCTTCAGTACGAATCTCATCAATATCATATCAGCTGTTAAGCGTCCACTACTGATCATAGGCCTTTCTCATAGACTGCCATAAGGAAAGTTCCGAACCACCTGCATCCACTGATTCCCTGCAATATATTCGAAGCACACTCCATCTAATGGAGGTCATCCTGTACTACAGGCCTGTACGGAGTCGCCGGGGGGAAAGGGATTGTTGGCAATGGAGTTTGACAGTCCCATTTCAAGCAATATGCCCTATTAGGTTGACTTCCACGTGGTTCCCCCTGGAAACCATTGTGAACAATTCCTGTTGAATTTATCACGATGGGCTAACTGACCTGCTTCATCCTCATCTATTATCCTTCACTGGTGCCCCACCGGTATATACCGATAGCGCGGGTGGGGTTACCATTCCATTATCATCCATTAAAAAAAATGTACAGGGTTGCCACTTAAAAGCCTTTCTTCCCCATCGATTGTCTATTCTTCGAGCTATATGACTAGTTCATAACCATGCAATCTCATAAATAAAGTTTATTTTTTTTGTTACAGAAAAGAAAATACCAGACCGCCGTCCAATGAGTACGGAGACCACACGATCAGCCCCTGACGTCATTATAGTCTCAAAACCGATTGGCTGAGGGTGACCTTTGGGGCCCCCGCCGTGGGCCCCAATCCCCCCTGAATACTGGGACTATAGGACCCCGAAGGAGCCAAGAACCTGCCCTGAGGGTTCCCACCAGCCTCACAATTGTAATCACGACAGTCTCTCCAAAAGCGTCTCATTCGAAGATTGCGAGGGATATTACAGCAAATATTTTGACGAAGGCCCAAAACTCATTTACGATTATTGCTTAAAAAGTGATTTTAATTGTAAAAAATCAAAAACATTACCAAGAAATCTAGGTTCCTCTGTCGATTATAAACCGAAAGTGTACCCGCAGAGGAGTGTGTGCTTTTACGGGATTGATGATGAAGTGTCTTGTAAGAGAAATAGGACTTTCGTGGTTAGAGCGGACATAGAGGCGCCGAGATAACGAAGAATCAGTTCTCCGGTTGACTTTTAAAGTTTTTATCGATGTGTATGAAAATCTGTCCCATTAGACAAGATACAAATGAATCTATCGATAGAAATTTTTCGCCTAGTGCTAGACATAGGTAATATCTACACTGCTTCGATGTTTTTATATTGGATTCTTTTGGACATTAATGATGGAAAAAAGTTCTTCCCCCATAATATTCAAAATATCCCTTACTTGATCAATATATAAATATTGTAAATGCAATACATAGATATTTCTATATATTACTCAGCCCTAGTTAGCACTAGATGGTGAAATAACAAGACACAGGATATATCCATCTCATTCTATCATATGGACTGGCTAGAGATAACCATACTATGGATAGATTCATTTGTACTTTGTCTTTTTGGGCCGTTGTTTTTAATTCAACAAATTTTATTTGCAGCATCATTTTTGTTATGGCACATGCAAAATAAGATTTTGAATTTAATAATTTATTTATAAAATATATTGAAATGTTAAAATAAATCTTGTTTTTATGTTAAAATCGAAGGGAGATGATGATCTATCTCCCTTCGATTAAAAGTATAAAAGTCGTATAAAAGTGAATAGTGCGGTAGCGAAATATTGCAGGTAGTGAGGGACCAATTCAAAGCCAGTAAGTAGTTTATACCAGTCTACCTACATCATCATATCAGCCATTTACTGTCCACTTCTGGACGTAAGCTTCCCCCATAAAAAGTTTTACCAGTAATTGCCACGTTTGGCAAACGGGTTGACAACCGCAGATAACTATATATAAATATGTAGAAATCCGCGACTTCATCCACTTCACTACTAAAATATATCCTGTATCCTTCTCCATCCATTCTTTAGTGATTGGTTAAACTATTAAAGCACTAAGTAACAAAAAAAAACTCATTTTCACATTTATAATATTATTAAGGATCTTTGTTTATAAAATGTAAATTCCATTTCTGGCTGTAAGTTTAAATATGTTGTAACGTTCTGTAAGGAAACTGTGAATTTTGTAACAAAGTAAATAGGGGAATATAGTAATATAGAGAATACGTGACCGCACTGTGCACTTGAAGAGGTACATAACTTTTGCTTACCGAAGTGTTGCAACACTGCAACAATATGTACAATTTTCAAAAAAGAATTTAACATTTTTCAATTTTTTTTTTTTTTTTACAAAACAGGGGGCAAACGAGCATGCGGCTCAATGTTTCTGAGTGATTACTTAAAAAGTTCTCTGCTCACGAACTAAAACGTTGATTATAGAATACATATATAAATCTACCACTTACAACTTTGCACTTAATTCATGTTTTGCTTTAAATTTTTTTTCTTGATCCGCTCCGACCCTCCGTCCGGCGAGATCGAAGTGCGGCGGCCTAAGCCGAGATCCGAGCCGCTCTGGCGCCCTTGGGCATACGTTGTAATCTATCGGTAAGATTCGACACTTTGTCGCTTTCCTCTCGCGGGCTTGGAGTGTCATCTGCACTCGACTCTACACCCGGTGAAGCTGTAAAAGTCATATGTGGCCAACAGCATTGTACAACTCGATATTTTTTTTTTTTCAAATAGGTACATTTATGCCTTCAAAATCCAAAATCTCAGTAACTAGTGATAATAATACTATCACATACTTAACATTTACTTCAATATCAGAGTACTTTTTAAATAATCAATCTTAAACATTGGAAAATGTTCAATTGTTTTTCTATAATTTGGCACACTTCGTTATGAAGTTAACCAGGCAACGATTTTAATGGATACCAAGCTATATAATGTGTTTTATTTATCTATAAATTTGAACAAGTCTTCCATTCAATCTTGGAAACTTTAATTATATTTTTGTAATTACAAAATTCTTGATACTTGTAAACGAAATGAGTCGACGTTGAATCTGTATTAAAGAGTGTATCCTTTGCCAAATGTTATGTGAAATAATATTGAATGCAAGTTATAGTTGTAAGTAGACCAAGTCGTTAGTTGTAATAGATTTGCACAAATATATTGCATTGATATATCATAAATACTTGTACAGAAATATCAAATTGATAATTTATGTTATGTGTATAAAATAGTTTCCTAGTAAAAATGTTAATATTAAATTAGAAATTTTTAACAAACGAATAGCAAAAACGAACAAAGATCGGACGTTTAAATATTTTCTCGTTACATTTGTGTTATAAATTTAACATTGTGTGATTTGGTTGCTACTAACGTAAATTTGTTAGTAAACTTTTGAAAACAAACGGCCGGAGGAATAACCAATTATTGCTTATAACAATGAAACTTTTTCGTAAAACTCCCGGTCTCTTTGGAAGTTTGTGTAAACGAATTTCCACTGAGCAAATTTAAATTAATATTCCATTTATAATTCAACAATTTTCATAAGCATTTCTGATAATTCTTTACGTTTGAAATAAAAATTGCCTATTTATCTTCTTTTTCTTTGGTTAGCCGATTCGAATTATTTTGTTTAATTCCGCTAATTATTATTATTAGTTTAATTCCGCTAATTACTATTATTGATAATTATTTTGTTCCAAAATCTAGCAACACCATAGAGCGTGGGTTCGTATCTCACCGCTGTCACCATATAGCGATTCAATGAAACAAGCTAGGTATCAAACAACTGTTTATTAAGAAATTACTAAACTACCTTCAAACTAACAACACGTGACAATGGCGGAATGTGAGGATTGACTATTAATATTAATAGAAGTTCTAAGACCTTCCTTTTAAATGTTAGCAACAGCACACATATTAATGGTAGCGGAATTAAACAAAATAATTCTAATCAAATAAAACAACAGTGATATGTACTTCCACAAAATAACATATAGTTCAGTAAAATACTATTTTTCTTTGTTCACGTCCAGGTCATCCTTGCCCTCTGACTTCTGGGAAATGTATTCAGGATGCTAATATTATACGTAGCTTGATTTTTACCCTTTGCTGTCCTTTTGCGTTTATTTAGGTTACTACTTTCAAAGGTTAACATTTTGGGATATAACAAGATCAATTTCACAAACCCTTTATTTCAAAAGTGATAGATGTATTTCGTAGAACTGGTTCTTGTTCGGTTAATAATATCGGTCGATATGTTACTGTAAAAGTCGGTATATCAGTAAATCTTAAGACTGTCCATCATGAGTTGGTAAATGTAAGGATTTTGTAAGCGATCATTTTTGGACTTTCACCAAACCTAACCTACCTTTCTCGACCTTCTCGTACTCGTCGACTCGACGTAGTTCTCCCTGGAAACCATCATGCTGAATTTCAGGTATATTCATTTGAACATTTTGATTACTAATTTCAATTGAATATATTTCATTGATCTGTCTTACTTTCATTATAAGCGTCATCATATCATTCGTTTATTGTCCACTGCTAAACATAGTCTTCTCCCTATTGGAGAGTTTTGCCATTATTTGCTATGCTTGGCAGGCGGGTTAGCAAACGTAGTTAAATTTTGGTGATTTTTTAAAAGGGACGCCACTGCCCATTTCTCAACCATTAAATATTGCTATTTTTTATGTAAATATTAATGTATAAGTATATATAACACAGTTATATATTCATGCTCGGTTACCCAAATGATAAAATAAAAAACTGAAATCTATACCCTAAATTCAAGATACCAAATAAAAGAGACGATAGCAAGAAATTTTATGTAAAATTAATTATAAGTTGTTTATATGTTTAGTTACTTTAAAAGCTATACCACTTATAGAGAAAACCATTGTAAATTCAATTTTGGAATACTTTGAAATATCGAACATTCTGGAAATTCTATTCAAAAACGTTCGAGAGCGTATTTCTCGTAAACTACAATTCATAATCACCAGTACTCTATTGCCCCCATAAAGAGATTCGGTCCTAAAATTTCTCAACGAAATTCCTGACGCCTCGGTTGAACTTTGAAACAGAAATTAAAACTTTGTACGCGTTCTGGCCTTTGAAACGAGTCGGATTGCTGTGAAGTGGCGCCCCTGTCAAGAAATAAATAATTTGCCGCCGAAATTTACAGACAACTGTGTAAGTCACTGTTGATGGCCGGAATTCCGCAAGGATCTGTATTAGGGCCCTTACTTTTTATATAGTTTTTTTTTTTTTTTTTTTTTAATATTTCTACTTATTGTTAACTTTAAGTTAATAATTATCACTTTTTTATGGTAATAAATAATTATACGACCTATTTAATCGTAATGAATATGAAAATTTGTCACATATTCATTTAACCATAAATACTAACCATCCAGTCTGTAAATATTATACTTGGATACCACTTCAACATTTATACCGAAAGTTTATCTCGAAAATAATATTCTTCATGATCATTATATCAACCTTTCACTGTCCACTGCTGAACTTAAGCCTCCCCTTTGGGGGTTTTGGCAGTGTAGTGCCATGCTTAGTAGGCGAATTGGCATCCACAGTCAGGCTTTAGAGATATTTTAAGAGGGACGCTACTGCCCATCTCTCGCCCTCCCTTAGTCGACACCCACGGGAAAGAAAGGGGTGACCTATTCTATGCCGGGACCACACGACTAAAATATAATATTGTAAACTACAAATCGGAAGAAATATAAATATCGCTGAATACAGTAAATACATAACGCTACTATCTACAGGTTAAAGTAGTATTCATTGACATTTCTTGAGGAAGTGTTCTACCAGCAAAAACTATCATGTTTTCTAAAGGATCTTTAAAAAAAACATATCAAAAATAACAAAAAAGTTGAACCTCTCGTACTAACACGTCGCTCGGTTAATATAACTGTCAAGTTAAGGAGAAACTAATTTTTTACTGTTACTTGACTCATTTTTCAATGAGAAAAAATGGATGAACTGTGTAAAAGCTTATATGGCCAGAATAAGAGTGAATGCAATGCGGAAATGACTGCGAATAGAGAGGAATGGGAGAGAAAAACATATTACGCCTACCCCAAATAGATAATTGGGATGAGGGTACGAAAGATGATTTTTTACGAGGAAAAATCTTCGAATTCAGTGATAGAACACTCCGTTAAAAGCACGTTAATGATTTCGATTTTACCTTACATTTTATAATGCACTTTACATTTCGTCCATTAAGAAATAAAAAATATATATATATACTAAAGTTAAATAAGCTTCAAGAATTTAACTTAAAAGCTCGCTACAAATTCTTAGAAAAATTTTTGGCCGATTGTAAAGGGGACTTAATAGCTTACCGAGGAATTTGCAAATTCACAGAAATGACTCGGGAATTTGCCGTATTTCCGGGAAAACGGGAACGGCTCGCAGAGTGCATGAACAGACGGTTTCAGACGTCGATAATAATAGTGAGCAAAATCTGCAATGCTTCCAATCATATTAAAAAAATAATATTTATAAAATACTGTGAATTTACTGGGTACAGAGGAATAACACCTGAGTCCTTAGGAATGGCAACGCATGGGGGGTATCATGGGCGAAACAGTATCCTCTGTTATGTCCATGGTACTGCTCATGTCTATAGGCGACGGTTACCACTTTCCATCAGGTGGGCCGTCAGCTTGTTTGCCATTCTGAGTTGCTTAAAAAAAAAAAACTAAAATTCTGGTAACTTCACAACAATTGTTACTGATACTTGTATCGCAATACTTTGTCGTAATGTCATAGACTTTTGAAAAAAATCTAAACCTCAAACTAATGCCCCCTTTCCCTGCTCAGTCGATAGATATAAATTGACAGTGCACCAGTGTGGTCCCATTGGTCCATCATGATAAATTCAACAAAAATTAACCACAATGGTTTCCAGGGGGAAATGTGTGGAGTGTAAATCTATTTGTTTATGTTCAAACGTGGTGTTTTTTTTTTTTTTAATTAATTAAGGACAGAGAGGGTGGAATGAGGTCAGAGTGAGGCAAGGAGAGATCATGCTATATTGGCAATATAGTTTATTTCAATGAAACTTAATGAAAATATAAACAAACGAATGTTAAATTACTTTAAAACAGTCTGTTGATGTTCAATAGTAGTAGAAAAAAAACGATTAATTTTTAATTTATAACATTCAATGTCTCGATTTGTTATTACAGTAGAATCTCGACTACAGAGGAATAACACCTAAGTCCTCAGGAATGACAACGCATGGGGGGTATCATGGGCGAAACAGTATACTCTGTTATGTCCATGGTACTGCTCGTGTCTATAGGCGACGGTTACCACTTTCCATTAGGTGGGCCGTCAGCTTGTTTGCCATTCTAAGTTATATAAAAAAAAAACAAGTCCGGATAGTCGAATTTTCGGATAATCGTGATTCTTCACAGACTTATTCTTCATTACTCTGGATATGGTATTATAAATTAATTGGGTAAATAGGTATTGTGCAATACATTATCTTTATATTCTATTGTATAAATAACGTATGTAAACCCATTTACTAATAAAATTTAATTATTGTGTGATATGACTTTGAAAACGATTATCCGGATTTTCGATTATACTGGTTCCATTCGATTCGAATAATCGATTTTGTAATTTAATTAAGAGAGTGTTTCCGTGATAATTTCACACAAAACTTGCTTACGTTTTCATTAAGTTGTATTGATGTAGACTATATATTACTTCATTGTCATTATATGAGCCGTAAACCTGAACTAAGGCCTCCCCCATAAGGGGGGTTTTGCCAATAGTTGGCACGTTTGGGAGGCGGGTTGGCAACCGTAATTAAACGGATGATATTTTAAGAGGGACACTGCTGCCCATCCCTCAACCGTTAGTATTCCTTAATCACCTCCTACGATATCCAAGGAAAAGGAAGGAGTGGTCCATTCTATGCCGGGACCACACGGCATTATTTATTACTTGTACTGTGGCAATACAACTTTTTTTTCTTTGCTTTGTAACTTTTAGACATTTGACTATGTACATAGTGTGTAAATAGTTTATTATATTGTTAAATTTTTAAGTAAATAAATTTTAAGTGATTTTTGTATGTTCGTTTCATTTTCTTAATGGTACACTTTGTATTAAAGTCATCTACATGGGTACCTATGTCCCACTCGAATTTTAAGCAGCCATGCTTGGATAACTATGTAAAAGGTAGAATCATTATCGTCGTACAAGCCGTTAATTGTCCACTGCTGGGCATAAGCCTTCATTTTCTCACATCCCTGTGCATTTCAGGTCTTTGTATTAAAGTCACGCGGTCTTAAGAACCTTTAAATGGAGAAGAGTAATTGCAAACAGTTTGATTGGAGGCAGGATGAAAATTCCGTTATAATAAAATACATTTAGACATGAAATATATATACAATAGTATAGATCACACCTTTTAACCAATAATACATAATAATTCTATGCACTTATACATATGTATAAATATTTACAATATGTGTTTGTTTGTTGTATTAACTTTATTTTTACCGGTACCTTTCCTGCATTGGATTACCCAAATTATCTTTTCTCTAACTGCACTGGGTTGGCTGGAAGTGATCTC